GAGTTGTATAAGGCATTTGAAGTCTTTTCGTTTGATCAGTAAATGAACTAAACCTTTCTTGGTTTTCTTCCAGATTTGAAAGGAAAGCATCACCTACAGAAACACGTTTGAACAGTTAAAGCATGACAATGATTCCGTTCATTTCCAAAGCTGAGAATCCAACTCCCCTTGCTGATCTACAGTCTTATCCTGGAGCCAGTAAGAAGAATGCATGTTCCGAGGCAAAACATTCAGCTACTGTATCCTGAATGATTCCATCTGCTGTAGCTGGCATTTAAGGTTCCCAGCCTTCATGCTTTTACACAGACTGCATGACTCATGCAGACAATTGGAATTGGGATATATATATTTGAAATCATCAAACAGATGTCTCTGTTTTTACTGTACTGTATGCTTGGTGTCTTTGCTCAGTGAAACTGAGCTGACTGAGTTGACTATGAACAGAAGGGGGAATGGGATCCTTCAGATTCTCATTAAGTCTCTTTGGATTAATAATGTTTAAAAGCTGCACAAGCATGAAACTGACATATTGGATGTTGATAAAAATCATCACATTTTGGCCTGTTCGATGGTTAAAGATGTAATAGTTGAATTTTGGAAGTCCTGTGTTGAATGCAGTGGTCTAATTGGAGGTGTCACTTAGTGTCACTTTGGAAGATAAAGCCTGGAGTATATGGACATAATAGTTTCCCACACTTAACTATCCATCCATTTTCTAACTGCTTCTTCCATTTCAGGACTGCTAGGGAGCTGGAGCCTATCCCAGCAAGCAGTGGTTGCAAGGCAGGGTACACCCTGGATGGGTTGCCAGGCCATTACAGGGCAGACAGAATGCTGAACTATCTTTAAGGCTAAATCAAAGCCTTTAGTGTGCTTTCACTAATTGACACATCAATTACTGCAGCTGGCTCAAATAATCTGCGCCAGAGATATTGGACAGGATAACAGAGAGTGGATACACAACCATTGTAGTCACTAAAACCACTGTATTTGGACACTCAGACCCAGCTGTCTGCTTAATGAAAAGTTCAGATATTGTCAGGATCCTCATCCCTCCGTTAAAGGGCACTCTCACCTTGTATTATTTATTGTCATTACGTGCACCTGTCCCCTGTTGCCCTCTTATTATTTAGGTCTGGCGTCTCCGGTGTTCAGGGCTCAGCATGGGAAGACAGACGCCCAGAAGCCCGCCTACCAGAGGGTCCAGGAGTGGCCCGACGTCACAGGCTTCAACGCGACGTCCTGACCATCTGTGTCTGGGGCTCCGAGAGCCTGGCCTCGTTATGGTTTTAACTTCTGTGTTCCTGTTCCCACGTTCCCTAGTTCCCGTTTTGAACTAATTTTGTCTTGGAAGGATCTTCCCATACCTGGACCCTGGACTGCGCGCTGTTTTCCCTTATTGGAATTCCCTTGTTCGGACGCGTTTGCCTGCGCTCCCCCCATGCACCGGATCACAGTCTTCTCCACCCCCCTGTCCGTCATCCCGTCCTTTCCTCGCCGTGTCTTCCCTGATGTCCTTCTCCAGTCACTTCCGGATTATATCGTCCTGCGTAGCGTCTTAAACTACACGCTCTGAATCGACTCTCGTGACAGATACACTCATCAGGAATTGTGTCGCACATACATGCATTGGATAAAATAGGGGGTTGAATAGCAGTCTTCACTTGTGAATGTGGAGTCACTGTTCATCTGTCATTGTGTTATGTGTGCACCTCTCCGCAGGACATTTTGTATTATAAAGGTCTCTAGAGTGATTCAGCCCATAAAGACACTCAGCTGAGTGGAGGTTGAGCTCTGTGATCACAGGTTCAAGTCACATCACTAGAATTCCCCATATGTCTGCCACAATTGGCTGAGTACTACAGAGAGCAGGACGGCATTAGCCAGGCCAGCGATGATCCTTGGCTAAATTAAAATTAGCTGCCTACAACAGGCTAACGAAGCTGTGCAGCCCCTTCCTTGACTGGCGAGAAGGTCAGAAACTTCTTGTTGCCATGGTCCTGATGCGGTTGCTATGGTCCCCCTGTCAAAACCAGCTCTTGGCGTAGGAGAACTAGGGGACTGCCTAGGGCCCACGGGGCCACCAGGGGCCCCTCACTGTGTAACACAATGTATGTGATGAATTTCATTGATCTTTCATCACATCTTACATTGAATGAAACAGCACAAGTGACCTTTTAATTATGTTGCAAACTATGTTGTAATGGTTTAAAATTAAAATCATGTAGTTGCACCTGGTAAATGTGCATCGTCCTCCAAAAGGCTCTGAGAAAAGGAAGCACTTAAAAGAAGAGCAGGATAAGCGATCTCAAAACTGAGGTGCACCAAATCCAGTCACTGCAATAACACATATGTAATGCAAGTGGTTTTGAGTCTGTTAGATCCATGTCACTAGCAAATGGTAGACAAGCCACGTAGACTACTTGAGGTGTTTTACTAGAAGTTAAGAGATTCACATTTCATGTTAATACTTTCAAAGTTAAAATATGCTATCTTTAAAAAACGGGTGCTTCTTGTTTTTGTATGTACATTATTTAATATGTATTTTTCAAAGCTGGTTAATAAAAGTTTTTTAGTTATCTAATTCATTTATTTAATCATTCTAAATAGAAAAATAATGTTTTGGGGGGGAGCTGATAATAGTACTGTATGTCCAAATTGTGATCTAGATCTAGGTCCCTTTCCACTATCCTGTCTAGGGACCCCAAACATCTAGGGCCGGCCCTGCCTCCTGTTGTTGTTATGATCCTCCTGTAGTTGGTCATAATGCTGTTGCTGTGGTTCTGATGCTGTTGCTTTGATCCTGATGCTGTTGCTGTGGTTCTCCTGTTGCCGTTCTTCGTTGTTCTGATGCTGTTGCTGTTGTCGTGATGCTGTTGCTGTGGTTCTCCTGTTGCTGTTCTTTGTGGTTCTGATGCTGTTGATGTGGTCCTAATGCTGTTGTTGTTGTTGTTGTTCTGATGCTGTTGTTGTGGTCCTGATGCTGTTGCTGTTTTTCATGGTTCTGATGCTGTTGCTGTGGTCCTGATGCAGTTGCTTTGGTCCTGATGCTGTTGTTGTGATCGTGATGCTGTTGCTGTGGTTCTCCTGTTGCTGTTCTTTGTGGTTCTGATGCTGTTGCTGTGGTCCTAATGCTGTTGTTGTGGTTCTGATGCTGTTGTTGTGGTCCTGATGCTGTTGCTGTTTTTCGTGGTTCTGATGCTGTTGCTGTGGTCCTGATGCTGTTGCT